AAAAAAAAAAAAAAAAAAAAGAAAGACGAAGAAGGTAAAGTACCCTGAGCGCATCTGCGCGTAAGATATTCAATAAACGAACAAGAAAGATGGCGAAAAACACCATAGACTGGCGAAAGTCACCATATCGTGATGCTCAACTGGCGAATGAACCCGACAGCTGTTTCGGCCGGCTCGCCAGTGAACCGGCTCTCCTCAGGGGCGCGCTGGGTGTGGATGGAATAGATGAGCTATACCAACTTATATCAGTAGGGAGTAGACCAAACCTATGAACTAAGGTACCAGACAGAAACAGGCCATAAAAGGAAATAAAAAGGCCCAAGGCAAGGCCCAGGGACCGACTACCAGAAGGTCCAGCCTGTGAAGCACTGTACCCATGGGTCCCAGAGCCCCCTTATCTTGGTATTGAAAATGACCAGGGTGCTATCGAAGTACGAATCAGGAAAATTTCTACGTCTAAGTTCCAATTTCAAACTAAAGAGAAAAAGGGCCTCCGAACCCGGAAGGGTGCCCATGGAAAAAGCTCTGTGGAAAAACGAAGAAATCACTGCTATTCTCTGCTGCTTACTACAGAACGAGCTAAAATCCTGCAAATTCTGAAAGACCAGTTTACCAACATCGAACAGGCACTCCTGGTTCTTGTGCAAAGCCTGACAGTAGACCTTGGAGGGTGCAGGGTATCTCCCGATATGAAGTCGACAACCTAAGTACGGCCAGTCGTCATCACCGCTAGTTTTTTCCAAGATGAAATGTCTGTCGTAGCAAGATGCTTCATAATTCTCAAAAATGAGATCGGCCTTCTTCCGCAAAGGTTCATCCTTCAGTCTACTTTTGACAAAGAGAGAAACATCATCAATCATTCGACATCCCTTTACTAACCTCGCATCGCTACCCAACTGGCGCAGAAAACAGGACTCATTGTGCATGCACATTAAGCATGCTAGGGCTGGACTAGAGGATTTCCCCATCGGAATACCCAATTGTTGTTTGACCACCTTACCCATCGCCATAGTAAAGGTATTATTCAAATCATAAGAAATAAAACGAATAAGCAAAGAAAAACTAACAGATTTATATCCAATCTCACTAACTGCACCTCCCTACTCCATGCCTACCTACATATCTTCCTCCTGGCGTTATTCCCTCCCTCCCTCCCTCCCTCCTTCGGTTCCTTCCTTCTTCGGAGCACCTCCCTGTTTGTAACAGCTCAGCATTCTTGACAGTGTTATTCTACCATCACTCAACTCACTGCGAAGCCGGAACTTCATGCACTCGCATGTCTCGTTCATTAAATGCACCTCCCTTTGTAGAGCGAAGTTTCAAGCATTGCTTCGTCTTGCTCTTCTTCTGAGCGGCCTCTCCATTTTGCGATGGTAAATTTGTCCACAGTTGAGATGACTGCAGGGCAATTAATGCCAAGCTCATGCAACCGGTTCACCGCATTGACACTCTCCTCAAACCATCATGTCACCGTCTACGCAACATGCAAAGTTTCTATGCTCTACCTTAAACCTCCAGGTACATCGGAGCCTTCACTACATTTACCTTTCTTCGACAAATGGAATGGGCTTAGAGCATAAGAAAGGGGGGGGGTCTCTTATACACATCTAGATGTGTATAAGAGACAGGAGAACTACACAATAGGCTCAAACAGGAAAAGAGAAAACTTATACGTAGCAAAAGTATCACTTGTCAAAAAAAAAAAAAAAAAAAAAAAAAAAAAAAAAAAAAAAAAAAGGGGAGGATTCGCCTTTTATTATAATGTTTTAAAGTCACGCACAAAAAAAAAAAAAAAAAAAAAAAGAACAAGGGCTATGGAGTCTGCACAGAAAAGATGGGCATGCCGGCTCCTCCTCCTTCC